ATTATTATTTCTCCTCTCTCCTCGGTGGCAGGAGAGGTCCACGCCTAGGTTGCCACATCCCCACACCAAGTTATCTCATGCCACGTCATGTCAGTCCTTGTTATTATTGTGTTAACGTCTAGTCAAACAAAAGTTCTTAATCTTTCTTATTAATGTTCTCTCTCCTTTCTGATTTATTTTTTCTGCTGATTGGCTGCAGAAGGCTCACCACACTGTTATAAAGCCAGAGACGGTGGAGCATAGTTGGGTTCTCCCTCACCTCCAATCCTAAACCTAACCATCAAAATAACACAGAAAACAAACACTGAGACAGAGACTGAGATATACGAAACAAGGAGCAGGAGAGTCCCATTGATCCAGGAGGGTGAAGGGGGCCGGAAAGGAGGGAAAGAAAAACACGGGCTTTGGCCAGAGGCTCAGAACCCTTGGATTCCAGTTTAGGCTTTGGCTTGAGGTTCTTTGGAGACACTGGAGGATTCTCTGGAGGTGCTGGAGGGCACTTTGGAAGATTCTCTGGAAGAAGTAGTCTTCTGGAGAAGACTCAGGAAGATGTGGGGGAGGCTGGAGCTTTGCTGGGCTCACAGCTGACTCTAGAGGCTGGGTTAGGACTGTGGGAATACCCATCCATTTCCTCTGTCAGTTGGGGCTGTTGTTAGGATCTAGCCTTCCTCACTGAATAGATGTGGGTGCTGAGGAAGACTGGATCTTAGCTGTCCTCACTCTGGAATCAGGTAAGTTTAAGCCGGATCTTACTTGGCCCACCTTTGGAGTTGGTATGGGCTTGGAATTAAGCTGGGTCTTAACCCTCCTCACTCTAGGAAAAGGCAAAAGTGAGCTGGACCTCGACCACCCTTGCCCTTGGAATAGGTACAGGAGTGGGGCTAAGCTGGGCCCTAGCCATCCTCATCTTGGAAAAAGCTATGATATTAGAATGCAAGTAGCTAGAAAGACCTTGGTCACCCCCTCCCAGGGAAATGGAATGAGATTAGGGACCCCATTTGCCCTCCCTTTGTCAGTGGCTACAGGTGCAGGCTTAGATAGGGTGCTAGCCACCCTTACCCTAGGGACCAGGACAGATGCAGGGAATGCCAGGACCCTCATTGCCCTAACTTAAGGAACAGGTAGGTGCGTTTCTTTTCATGCAGTCTAGATAATGTTTCGGTTGTAGGTGTCACTGAAACCATTTCCTTCAACTTCAAGAAGTTTGGGTAATACCATACGAAATGACAGACTGAAATGAAATACTGCTTCTCACCAGCCTCTACAGTGCAATAGTCAGTACAAATTAAAACGTTTAAAAAGAGCAGTAAAAAGGCAATAATAAATCACAACAATAAATGGGGATAAATATAATAAAATCTAAATTCTAAAAAAAAACCTCAAGTCTAAATAGTCACACTCGTACAGGTAGCAGCAGTCCTTTCCTGTGGAAGAAGAGTCATATGATTCATAAAATACCTCTTTTGTAGATTGGTCAGATGCTGCCAGCTGCCAACACCACCCTTGTTTGGGGAACATGCCAGGAAAATCCTTGGTTAACTTACCAACTTGATAATCAGCTTCATGTGACCGTTTATTCCAATCAACAATGTTAGGGGAAATAAATTCAGATAATAGAAAGATAACCTGGGTGTGTTGCATGAGCTTCATAGTATAGGGACCTGGTAGTCCTGACTTGTCCACCACTACAAGCCAGATTCCCAAATCATAACTGGTTTCTTGGAGAACTGCTATCACTGACCTTTGGGCCTATTGTTTCTGTTGCTCTGTCTTTGTGTACCTGGTCTTTCACAACAGAGCGATTCGGAGCAGACAAATTAAGAGTTTTTCAGGCAATGTTTTCTATTTGCATGCAACATGTAGCATAGATAACCTATCCAAAAAACAAATTAGAAAAAAAAAAGAAAAAAAAAAAAAAGCTGGAATTCAAATATGAAAAACAAAAACACACCACATAATGACAACAGGGACACATTTATACTTAACCTCCATGTTTCTTTTAATTTATTAACTTTTTTTAAGAAGGTGCTTTGCACCAAACTGCATTATTCTCATACATTTCAAGAAATACAGCTTTACAGAATACAGTGATACAGAAACAGGAGTGCATCAGCGCTGCTTGACTCACAGGTGGTCAGACGTTTGACAGCTTGAGCCTCGACAAGTAGTTCCAACTTCTCTATAATCCTCAGTGCATATGAAAATTAAAGCAATTGCAAAACCACTTGTGACAGTGTTTCAGTTAAATTATACTTGGAGGATGCTGGTAAGTCCACAACAACAGCTGGATGAGCTTATTTGCGCATCATTCAGTTCATGTCATCTTGTAGCAGAGAGTCCTTCTCTTCAGCTGAACTACATTTGATTCCATCCGGTAGGTTGCTGTGGTCAGGTTGATTACTCTGTGTTAGGAACAAAATAAAAAGGTTATTAGTTGAATAATAAAATCACCCTGTGGTCTAGTCATGGCCAACCTGAAAAGGTTAGAAGTTTGACGAAATTGTTGATAAATCAATTGGTTGGATGAAGAAGAAAAAAAACTCCATATAAAAGACTTTATAATAATCCAGTGGCATTTGAGCAGACACTGTATACATTCAGCCCCAATAACTGGGCAATAAATGACTGCTTAGACTCTTCTGGGTAGTCCAAGGCAGCAGTAATATGAAAAGAGTAACCACTGCAACTGCAAAGGGTTAAAACCCCGTCTGACAAACACACTGCCATCCATCCATCCAGCTCTCCTCTCCCTTGCCACCTCCTCTAGCTAGGGACAAGCACACTGAGATATTCTGAGGAAACACAAGAAATATATTCTATAATATAATGCAAAATAATAATCCACATCACTGTAGTTGCGGCTACAGTGATGTGGATTATTATTTTGCAAATTGGATAAGGTCAAACATCCATATAATAGTACTAGTACTGGGAAATAAAACAGTGTTAATGAAACTAAGTGTGGTCACATTTTGCATTTTCCTAATCAAAAATTCCAGGAAAAGATTCAAATAAGTAATGTTAGGAAAAACATAATATAAATACTTGATTTTTATTCCTTTCACTTTCATTAAATTCACTGTAATACTATAATAAAACACAAATGAAGACATAAAACACATCAAAAATGCCAATAAATACCTTTATGTTCCATAACATTGTGCCATGTACCTGAACAAACACTGGTAGGAACTCCAAAGCCCTGCACACACTAGACTCACTAATTACAGATTACTTTGTAGTTTCTCCAGCATAAATTTCACCTGTAGTCGCTTTAAGTCATTGAACATCATTCACTTTCTACGATCTCTGTTTACCACAAGTTGCTTCCAATATGTTTGCTGCTTAAGAAAAATCTGTGCCCCCAGTTTGGGACAGACAGCTACAGCCACCCCTGTGGCTGCAGCTGTCTGTAGGAGGTAGAGCTGCTGATTGGAAGGTTGGTTTGACCCCTGGCTCCCCCAGTTTGCATGCCAAATATCTTTGGGCAAGATACTAACCCCGACTTGCTCTCCAATGCATCCATGAATGACAGTTAGAAAGCACTGAAAGTATAGATAACAGTGCTTGTGTGAATGGGTGTGTATGGGTGATTGCGCTGTGTTGTATAGAGCACTCTGAATACTGCAGGAGAGTAGAAAAGTGCTATATAAGGCTATGTCCACACTAATGCATTTTCGTTTGAAAACGCATTGTTTTCTCTCTGTTTTGGCTCCGCCCACACCAAGGCGGCATTTTCCTCAAGGAAACACGCGGCGTTTTGGAAACGCTCTTGAAAACGCATACATTTCAAAATGGAGCTGTCCCGTCACAGTGTGGACGCTTGAAAATGCAGACTTTCTAAAATGATGACGCATTTTAGTCATGTGATGCAGTCATGTGACCAATTAAACATAGCGGAGGGCATTATACAGCAGTTGTTTTGATTGCTCTCACTTTTGACAACCCTAAAAAAA